ACTAATTGCTTTATTGAATGATGGATCCATGCAAATTATTTTTCTGGGGGGTGGCTGTACATTTGGATGTTTTAATGTGGATGTATACAGTAAACTGTGATACCTATCTTAGGTACAGGTTAATTATTTGAAGTCAGTAACATGCTTTAAATAAATTGTTGGTGAGAAAATCTGACTTGGGGTGCTTTAATTCTTTTCCTGGACATTGAGTGTCTAGTTAAATTATTCTTTCTTTTTTTCTCGTGACTTCTTAGGTTTTCCTAACCCTTGAATTTTCCGTCTTCTTGGCTTTCCCTACTTCTTTCAGGCATTTTTTTTTCAGAGGCGCAAAAACAAACATAGCTCGCAGCAAAGTGCTGGTGCAAATCCGCAGGAACTTAAATTTTCCGCAGAGTTACGCGAAAAACCACAAACTTGCAGAGGAGTTTGCAACTCTTCCAGTTAAGTGCTTTCTTTTCCTAACTCTCCCTGACTTTCCCGGTTTCTCCAAAGCCAAATACCATAGTATAGCAATAACTTGGACTTGAAAAGAAAATTGAACTTACCCATTTCCGTGATAAGAAGAGCTGGAACTGGAACGACGATCGTAGCGATGGTAGTAAGCTGGTGGCTCCATTTAAGGCAATAGCAAAAGGCAAGAAAATCAATCTGAAATTTATAACGGAGTTGAAAATATAAATAACTGCAGGTAAAAGAGAAAAGGTGGATACCATGGCAAATGGTTTAAAAATTAAAAAAATATCTTCCCTCTTAAGAGACATTTGAATTATGAATTTAACAGCAAATTGAGCTAAATTGATCTCATTTCTCATTCTCATAGATATCATAGCCACATGTCACAATCTAGGTAGTCAGGGAGATAGGAATTCAGGTGTTAAACCATGCAAAAAAAGCCGCACATAAATTCTAGATGGTAGAAATGTTAGCTGATGTTTCCCTGCAGTATTTTTAGTATAACTTTGGTCATAGAAACAGCCGGAGGGTCTCATTAATGAATACTGTAGTACGATCCGACATGTAAGACTATAACAATAGGTACATTCAAAATAGAGAACAAGTAGGGCTAAGATTTCTAAAAAGCTCAACTGAATCTGAATCCGTTCTCTAGTGTTTGTTCCAATGTACATGAGATGAGCCTGCCATGGGACCTCAGATTAGATAACTTCATCACTTTTTACACTTTCTGATTCGGAAAAATTTGGATCGGTTGTTTTGCTTTTTCCTTAATACTAATCCTTCAATCTCCGCACATACATTATCCAGTAGGCCATGGACCAGTGGGGAGTCATCGTTGTTAACAGCAAGATGATTTCCTTATGACTAATACCAACGCATTGGCATAATGTCAGGATTTAGCTATCATAAGTGCATAATCCTCCGAGTAATTCATACCAGCTTGAGACCTGCAGAAGTTCTCAACCACCTTACCATTTCTCAGTATTACGGAACAAACTGTTGGCAGAATTTTGACAAAAACCTATCCTAAAGCTCACTGATCAGATATTGAAGCAAAACATAGGTAGTCTCTAAATAAAGCAAGATCAGAGCCACTCAACAACTTAACGAATGTATTTAGATGGCACCATTGATGGGTCGTGGCATAGACAAGACTTGACTTTTGTCTCAACATGCGAAAAGTGAGTTCTGGAACTCCCTCACATGTTAACGGAGGCAAAATCTTGTTTGCATCAACCCTTATCAAAGAATGCATCATTACTGTCAGTATTAGCCTGTCAGGAACTGATGTTTCAGGGCCGATCAAAGACTGACTTTCTACACAATACTTAAATGATTAGCAAAGTATAGGAATCAATCCATGGACGGAATTATCAGGGGTCCAAACTAAAAGAAGGCATCCTTCGTTTCAAAGTTTTCCAACTCAATCTAACCCAAAGATCAAACTGACTCAAACATCATTGGCAAATATGCTGATGATGGGCACATATCTTCAGAGATTAATTAAGTCTGTAGCTGCATCATTCTGGTTTGAAATCGGGCTAAGTGACATCATTGTGGATAAAGAAAGGTAGTCGCATTTGGAATTGAGCCGCCATTTTAGAGGCTGTGATGCGTAGAGGGTACATGCTTTGCCATGCAATCGGGATGTACCCGATGCCAGGGGATGTAAATAGAGTATGAGATGCGACCACCATTCTTTATCCGCCTTGACATGGCATCTTGAGGGCAGGTTCAACAGAGCACAAAGCTTATGTACACTAAAGGACCATACATTTAGTATACTTTAAAGCTTCATGCTCAAAGATTGGGGCTAAGACTTCACACAGGCTCTTAGGTGAGTCTTAACTAAAATATCTGATTTTTCTAGGTTCCGAACATAATTACGTTAGAAAATGTTACAGGGAAGCAAGAGGCAAGATATACTGCCATGGCCCTAAAATTGAGATGTCAGATGAAACAACTGTCAGTGAGTGGTGCTGCGGATGATCTCTATTTCAATGAAGTTAGTGTACAGACTAACTGGTCCCGTGTATTCTTTGTCCGGTAATTGAATGGTCACAAACAACTTTTAAAATCTACCTACCCACAGTCATGCAGTATAAGCTTTATTCACCCATAAACCAAAAAAATGTAACTGAATTCACTGAAAGCCTCAATGTCTTCCAAGGGTGTAAACAACTTGCTCGCTGCTTCTTTTCCATTCTAGCCACTACTTATCATGAATTCTTAGTGAACTGAACGAAATTTCCACATTTAAAGGGCTTAAAAACTTACTTACAGAGGCAACGAGATGAAAAATTCCCCGATATCAATGATATTGCATTCAGAAACATTGTCCAAGTTTTAAACTAATTGACTGGACAAGTGCCAAAACAGAGAAAACACATCTCATAATTGGCCTTTGAGTGAGGAGACATCACATCTTTGACAGCGATTTTCTGGATCAAACACTTTCGTCCAGTGTAGGAAAACTCGAAACACCTCACGCGAGATCGCACCAACGAACGAAGGCGAAATTACGGTAAACTCAAGAATAATCACTGATCAGCAACTCTAATAAAAATAAACATAATAAAAGGGATCATTAATAATGCTTATGATAACATTAAATACAGATCTCGACGCATGATTGAACACCTGACTGATATTGTAAACAGAGCACTAAAGACGAAGGCAATTACCTTTAAACCACCATCTTAAGACGTCACTTGGGAACAAAAATGGGACAGCAGTGTAGGATAGAGCGTGCGATTGGCATGCGGGGTAATTATTGGTTAAAATTTTGACGTCATCTCGGACAATTACCGAAGCGACAAACTAACTTCGCCTCTTCCAACAGAAATTCAAGAACTCGATGATTCTGCTTGTTCTGCATTGACTCAAGTAAATTGATTGAACCTGTAAAAGGTAGACAGTTCGGAAAAAAATAAGAAGCAACGCTTTGCTTTGTTGCTTTCATCGCGAAAGAATAGACAATATGCCATTTCGTTCGTTTAAGGAACGTGACCAACCTTCAAGCCAAGCGCATTATATTGACGCATCATTTCACTAAGCGCCATCATGAAAGAAATGCGCTATGTGAGTAGGGAGGCTCTAAAAGTGCTGATAACACCGCTGAAGCAGTTGCGTTGATAGTAAGGGGANGGGGGGGGGGGGGGGAGGCCGGAGAATTTGTCATAATTAGGTACGTTCCCTTTCTGAAAAATCAATTGATCTGGAATTCGGCAAAAGTGCTAAACGCAGATCTTATTTCAGGAAGTACTTTAAATTCCTTAATTTTGCCGCTCATTCATAATAATCTGTCCTTGTCAAATGCATGTGACACAACCCCCC